CGCAAACTGTCTTTGCTGCACTCGAAAAACTGTCCACACTCGCCTGCGGCTCGTGCGTAAACTTTTCTCGAATGTGCAGAAAAGTGCCACTTCGCATACTAGTAACACAAATAACTATTTTGCGACTTTCAAGAATATTCTTTATTTCTTGAAATACTTCCTTATACAATGCCTACGTGTGAGACGCTTTTTGACTTCAAAACCTTTGGTTCAATCCCTCAGTAAATCCATCAAACTATCTATGTACTCTATACAAAGAGAGTTTCCTTGTAAGATCCCCGTCATACTTATTTTTAGGTTTTATGTGTCGTTTTAAGGCTAGTGATCTAGTGGAGGGACGATTGGTAAATAAAAAGGGTAATTTCATTCAGGACCCTTAGAGTTTGATTTATTTCTAAGTAAGATTCAGTGGTGCTTATCAACTTTCTTTATGACGGTTTAAAACGTAAGATGTAATTAACAGCTGATCCTTCAGATGAATGTAAATAAGCGACTAAACAGTTTATGTAAATGCATTTTAAATAGGATTTTATGATTTCAACCTAATTGAGGTAGGCAAAAAATTATTTATGGCATAGATCTAAAATCTACAAATTCAATTTATCGTATTCTAGTTAAGTTTATTGCAGTAGTTTAATTCACCTATTAACTGTCTTGAATAAACATAAACATTAGTTTAGCCATGGAAAAAGTGCTGAAACCTAATACAATGCGCAGTTACGCACGGGCCCCCTCGTATATATTTTTTTCTGATGTTAGCCCAAAAGTTGATTACCAAATTTATATTTGTAACGCTAGCTATTGTTGTCTAGCTGTATGTTTTCATTGGCCTTTTGACAAATAATATCAGTAACAAAAATAAGGCAGATAATAGAATTTTAGACACTAGCACACTCACAGAACTGTTCAAATATAGTACAGAACAGACAGTATACAGTAACAAACAACAGATGTTCCTTATAGATGTATTGGATGTCTACATCGGTACACGAATAATGGACCATAAACATAAACAAATTACGTCACTGGCCCGATTCCTACCCTATACTACAGTAATACCATTTATATGATTTCAGCAATTCCATTTAAGCAATGTTAAATAATGTTTATTTTTGGGCCAGCAACGTCATTTGTTTATATTTATGGTCAATACTGGTTCTGTTATTCGTGCTTCGGAATCACAAAGTCAATGCTCGTACCAAAAGGTAAAGGCGACCTTAGAAATATTACAATGTCGCATTCTGCAAGTAACTCTACCAACTATCTTCTTGAATTAAGTCTTGCTAAAGCTGGCCCATACAGATGAGATGTCAACTTCAGTATCCTAAAATTCATTTTTTTCACTAGGATGTAGGCACGAGCCCAGATTTTTAGCGAATTTCCCATATAGGGAATAAGCTATTACCGTAGTACTCATGGTAAGACCTGGACGCGGGACCGATTTTTTTTTCATTTTGAGGTCCCTAGAGGCCAAAAACACCATCTGTTCAAATTCATATATATATATTTATATATATATATATATATTTATATATATATATATATGTGTGTGTGTCCGTCAGCACGATAACTCGAGCAAAAATGATCCGATTTTGATGAAATTTGGTACAAACGTGTAAACGTACGTTTATTCGAACGAGTTCGCGATCCAGCATGATCGGACCATGGGAACGGGGGTTTATGGGGGTTTTATGGGGTAAAAATAGGTTTTCCCCATTTTTGACCCGAAAAACATAAAATTTAGCGATTTTTTTCCAAACCATTTTGTAGAGCTTAAAAAAACAAATAATTTAGTATATTGAAGCGTTATTATGCGCCTAATGGTTACGGAGAAAATTCCAAAAAATTGTAAATTTAAAATTCCCATGTATAGACGTTTCAGTGTAAATCCAATCAGTCAAATGGAAATTCGCTTAGTATGCAGGTTTGCTGCGGCGGGGGGTATTTTCACATTACTTCAGGCTAGACCTACAGTATGCGTTGCGGCATTATCACTTTGATAAAATCCCTTGGTGATTTGGCGAGATTTGGACCCGGGACCTCAGGGACCGAAGTCCCGCGCTCTACCAGCTCGCTCCCCTCAATGGTAAACATTCAATGCTATACGGTTCTGATTCACGGCGAGACATCAGTGTCCTTGATCCTGACAGAGACTACGGTGGTTCATTAAACCATTTAACAATAACAGGGAACCTTCCCGCCATTGGGAACAATAGGCTTATCACTGCAACCACAAGATGTATTGCTCAAGGATCGCTCACAAGAAACTGTGGACATTACGTACGTTGATAAGAGAATAGTTTATTGCAAATGTAGTACGCTGTAAAACCCAGTGTACTTTGCTATATGATATTTTGAGGTGACGTGAGATTTTGATCCTTGAATACTCTAGTTACATTTGAAATAACTTGGGTGAATTTGTTTCTTACTTTGCCTACGAGTATGTGTTTGTTGAGTCAAAAAAGATTTCTTTCATGTATAGTGTAGGACCACATAAATGGAGAGATGTTAGATTTTTTAAGTTTTCGTTCGCAAAGTTATGCATTTCAAGTACTGTACTTTTAGTTTTCAATAAGGAAATATATAATAGTTTTTACAAAATACAGAGTGTTTTTCTTAAACGCAACCCAAATAATTACAAGTATACTTGTACATGGTATATCATGAGACACTTTCGACAAAACTAACTTATTTTATGTTGGTATTCCTGGTTTCTTAACTTTTACCGATCAGCTTATATTCATTGTTTGCAAGGTTTGGTGTTATTAGCTGATTGGCAATGGAGTAAAGATAACAGGGATACAAACGTTTGAGCTTAAAAAGTGTCTTACGGTACTTGTAATTTGGGTTGCGTTAATAAAACTCATTGTTTCCGTTGAGATTAGAATTACAGAAGTGTTATGTCCAAGAGAAGACAAGAATTTTCCATATACAGTATTTAGATACATCCATAAGATTAGGGATATTGATCTACGGTAAACAGCTGACTATGGTAAAAATGTTTTACTAGAGAAAAGTTTCATTAATCATCATCAACGGCTGAAATGGAACATGCTAATTAATTTGTCCATAGACTTTACTGATGAAATGAGCATACTAGTCAGGTTGGGTAGCAGGAAAATATTTCAGTTCTGGCAGAAAGGCTGCAATTTTAGGTGGTTATAGTATACAAGTTTCTGAACCTAAAACCGCCCAGACCCCAATTTTTTAGGACCTCGGTCGTCCGTAATGACGTCATCAAAATGGCGGCCGTAAGAGGATGCTGGTTCCTCATGAATTGGCTATAACGACCAAATGCCTGAACCGATTTTCATGAAATTTGGCACACAAGTGCTTGAATACATTATCTCGGCCTGGGTTGAAAATGGTCAAGTTTCATCAAGTCATTTCAAAATGGCGGCTGTTCAACACTAAAAAAAAATATGAGAAAAATAATTGTGAATTGTTTTATACAGGGGTTTTAATGAGCTTTATGAGTTTTAAATGAGTTTTAAATGAGCCCCCCCCCTACTTTTTTATACATTTCTTAAGATATCAACTCCGAACCACGTCAGATCATTGTAGAGTAGCAAGTACTTCATTTTGACTGGGTTTAAATTTTTGGCCGCCATCTTGGATCCGCCATATTGGATACAAAGTTATTTTTTCAAATGTAAGGATAGGGTTGTGACCTACCGTTTCAAACAAGACTTTTACGCTGAATACGATGCTGCAATCCGTTTTAAAATATGTTGATTCATTCTAAAGTTATGAGAACTTTTTATAACTTTATTTTTGGTCCATTGTGCATTTACAAACTAAGGCCATAATCTCAAAATAGTGCTAGATAAAGATAAGTGGACACCACCATTCATTGTTGATCTATTTTCACTCGGTTATGACGGATGTATTTTTTTCAGCCGCCATCTTGGATCCGCCATTTTGAAATGTGATAAATTATTTTATACGTTTTTTGTTATCAAGCTTTCTTGATAAAATATTACAATTATTTTTATTTAAAATGCCAATATTTCAAAAACCAAATATGACAATGAAATATAGATTGCAGCATTGAATTCAACATAAAAAAGTAATCCAAAATTATGGGTCACAACACCACCTTCATATTTAAAATAATTTATCACATTTCAAAATGGCGGATCCAAGATGGCGGCTGAAAAAAATACATCCGTCATAACCGAGTGAAAATAGATCAACAATGAATGGTGGTGTCCACTTATCTTTATCTAGCACTATTTTTAGATCATGGCCTTAGTTTGTAAATGCACAATGGACTAAAAATAAAGTTATAAAAAGTTCTCATAACTTTAGAATGGATCAACATATTTTAAAACGGATTGCAGCATCGTATTCAGCGTAAAAGTGTTGTTTGAAACGGTGGGTCACAACCCTACCTTTACATTTGAAAAAATAACTTTGTACCTTTCCAATATGGCGGATCCAAGATGGCGGCCAAAAATTTAAACCCAGTCAAAATGAAGTACTTACTACTCTACAATGATCTGACGTGGTCCGGAGTTGATATCTTAAGAAATGTATAAAAAAGTAGGGGGGGGGGACTCATTTAAAACTCACCCTGTATAAAACAATTCACAATTATTTTTCTCATATTTTTTAGTTTTGAACAGCCGCCATTTTGAAATGACTTGATGAAACTTGACCATTTTCAACCCAGGCCGAGATAATGTATTCAAGCACTTGTGTGCCAAATTTCATGAAAATCGGTTCAGGCATTCGGTCGTTATAGCCAATTCATGGGGAACCAGCATCCTCTTACGGCTGCCATTTTGATGACGTCATTTCGGACGACCGAGGTCCTTTAAAATTGGGGTCTGGGCGGTTTTAGGTTCAGAAACTTGTATACTATAACCACCTAAAATTGCAGCCTCTCTGCCAGAACTGAAATATTCTGCCACTATATGCAGCTATACGACCCCACTATACTTGTATTTCTGAAATATCCCTAATTATATAACATTATCAATGTTGTTACTGTTTAGGTGGTGTTTGGGTGTGTTGAGCCTGTTGTTCTGTTGGGACCGAGTGGTCAGCCAGAATTCTGAGTGTGCCGTCACGCTTGAAGCCACGGGCCGCATAGAGTAAGTATCTTTGATGTTAGAGTTACCATAGAGTAAGTATCTGATGTTAGAGTTAATCTAGAGTATAATATTTTATACAGTATTAAATTCGGTTTATTGGGGCTCAGACTTCCGAATATGTGGTCAGAATTGAAACCCCAAGAGTAAGTATAGAGTAGTATCTAATTTTAGAGTTAGGATAGTGTACCTTTTACATTATTAAATACTCGTCTATCGGGGCCAAATGGTAAGCCAGAATTCCAAATGTGTCGTCAGAAACTAAGCCATGGGCCGCATAAAGTAAGTACTGAGAATTCAACTTAGCATAGAGTATTTTGTCTTATATGACATTCTGTTCTATTGAAGCCATGTGAACTTGTCAAGTCAATACAAAATAAATCACATTGCTAATTTATAAAATGTTGTATCCAGTCACACCTTAATCACAGCATACTACACTTTAGGATCACCATAATTATAGTATGGACGTCCATGGAAATATTTGGGAAAACATTAGTTAAAACAGTTTTACTACATTTACAACTATAACGATAGAAAATGTGTAGGAAAGCGTCCTTATGTGGTGTATTTCTTTTAAGATACCGTTCTAACATTTATAGAAAAAAAGAATGTGACAGTATTTAGTTAAATTCATAATCGTGCATATTCCCTCCTTGACGATAAATCGTAACATTAATAAATAAATCCCAAAAGCAAAAAACGTCACAACTCAATTTTCTTACACTTTTAGTTATTGACTTGCGATTTTAAAATTCTAAATTTAAATTCAATACCGATCTAATTACTAAAGCTATAAGCCTCAAAGTTTGGTAATTAGATTGAAATACGATGTAAACACGACGGCGGAAAGACACTCGCCCCGGGCTTACTGAACTATGCAAGACGGCAACTTGGCAAGTTCTGAGTCAAGTTCCGACGGAACAATTCGCAGCGAATGAATTAATGATCTGAAAGTTACAAACATTGAAAGGAGTGAGTTCGGTGCTATGTCAACAATGAGGCGGGGAACTGGAAGAAACCGGAGTAGGTTCTTGATTTACGAATCTGGCTGTATTTTGGCTCATAATTGTATGGTTTGGACAATTTTGAAATATATGTAACGTTATAAAAGATTAAGCTCCTATTTTCATTCTAGTGTAGGATTTTGGACCATATAAGATCCTCGGTTTTAACTACCAAATAACCAATGGATTTCATCTGATTTTAAGTGATTATACCGCACCCATAAGTCTTGACTAAAGTAATGTGTAAAACTATCTCAGGCTAAAGCCTAGCGTCCTAGGACAAACAATTGTATTTCTATTACGCAAAACCAATGAACAATTTTTACCATACGTTTAATACTAAGACAGCTACGATACTATTCTTATAGGATTTTTTTCAATTTGATTTCTTGACATGTTTTGCAAGTCTTCAATGTTTTGAATTTATTCTTTGAAGTGTAATGAAAACATTCAAGTCAAAGGGATCTCATGGTTCACTAAGAACCGGGGATTTGACGGAGAATGAGGACCTGTGAATGAGTGCACAATAAGCTGTTTCAGCTGCGATGGTCTACGTATAAGCCTGGCCCTCTGTTAAAAATCCCAGAATTATACTACTGAAAATAATACTTGATAAGGTTACGAACTAGTCTACGTATATGAGACAGAATGGGACAGAAAATTGAATCAAGAGAAAATATGTATGTAATTCTCATGTATACTATGCTATAAGGATGAGATTTACTCTGAATACGGTCTTGAGGATATAATTACGTGATCTTCAAGTTGCGCATGCGCAGATTGTGTCAGTCCATTGTTGTAGACCGGATATGCAACAATGTGATAAGCACAGGAAGCGAGGCACTTTCCCTGCATGCATTGCAACTGGAGCTTACACCCTATGAGATACCCTTGGCCTTCTGCACGGCCTGGCTTAAGTATCCTTGCCCCTTGGCCTCTGTTAGGGCCAAAATATGGCCTCCCAGCTTCCTCGGATCTTATCAGGAGGAACCGCTGTCGGAACTGAGTGATTTGTTTTAATTTTGGATACTGTGTTATTGTCTAACATAAGATTTGCTGTTTGGAGATTTCATCTGTGTGTAATAAGTGGTTGTACCTGTGAACAAAATGGAAGTTCCTTGATGATGTTTATTTATCTTGCATTAGCAAGATTGCATTCTTACTTTTGTTCAAATGTTGTAATTTGGCGTTAAAACGATGTTTCACATTCATTATCATTATCATTACAGTACTTCTCAGACAACATTTTTACCTAGCGCATTTTGTGCTGAAAAATTCAAGATGAGTGAAGAATTAAGTGAGATGACCTGTGTAGCTTTGGTCCTAACTAAGATCAGCTGTTTCTTTAGTCAGGTTAAAAGCCAAACGATCAAGGACTATCAAAAAGCTACTGACTTTTCTCAGGACCAAACCGGGCATTTAGGCAAGCACTTTAACTTATCAGTTCCCAATTAATGACTGCTAAACGAAATAAAAACAATTATACGTTATAACATAGTGTTTGAATGGTTTAAATTTGTAAAATTTCATCATTATTAACTCAAACAGCATTTCTGTTTATGGTGTGAAATCAATAAATTCCTGCTAATTTACATGTATAATATTTAAAAAAAGTGGTTAAATGGTTGGTTTTCGCAAATTTTAACATTTTGAAGAAATTATTCAATGTTTAGTAAATCAGTCAATTCTTTTGTTGTATATTAAGATTTAAATATATATTTACTCGATGATACCGACCTGTTACTTAACTGTGGTTTTAAAATATTTATAAATATTCTAAATGCAAATACTGTTAAACAGGTACTAAGTTATAGAAAACCAGTTTTTGCAAGGAATAAACCAATTTAATTTCAAAGTTGACACATAACTAAAGATAACTTTGGGCTTTGTTCGTTTTTCATAATTGAAGAATGCTTTCCACCTCCACCCCTCTTCCGATCGAAAAATTACTTTGCACTCATAAAACTGCTACTGGTTTAATTAGCAAAATGAATTCCAACTGTCCGACGGTGATTAATAAAACAAAGGCGCTGATAAATCAAAGAGCTACTAATACAAGGGAAAAATGTTCTCAGCACTTTCTCGGGAAATATGGCAGCCAACGGTGGAAATGTGTGATTAAATTCGGTTTAAATAATGTCCCCCATTGTAATTGTTACAAGATAGCTCTACTGCGTGTATTTACAGAAGTCAAAACCCTTTAAAGATAAGTGTGGTTAATTTAAAATTCAAATAGCACATAGTTGATTGAATCACTTTCGGAGTTTCCTACTGTTTAAATGAATTATACTTCATTCATTCATAGGTAGCTATGTATATGGCATACAAGTTGCTATACTTTAACAATAAAGTGTCCTTGTAGGTAAGCCTAAGTCATGTTTTAAAGTCCGTGCATAAGTCATAACAGCATAATGGCCTTAGCACACTATATCAGTGGCAGAACTACGTTAATATTCATTATAAAGCCAGTATAACCATTTAATCTATACTAAAACTATAATATACAATGGGCTAATTCTCCACTTCGAAGAGTTGTTTCTACACTATTCTGTGCTACTATCAGTGTTAATAAATAATACCATTGACTATTGAATACTGAAGTAGACATCCCATCTATACGGACCAGCTGTCATAAATTTTTTACTAAAAGAACATAGTTGTGTGAGCCAGTCACAGATTTCTCTACATATTGTAATCTTTAACTATGGTAATGGATTATATTTTTTTCCCTTTTCACTTCTGTATTTAATACTGGTTGTGGTGTCTAGGGGCCGAGCTCTATGTTTGAGATACGCCGACATCAACAACGCCTTCGCCAAGGCGCGGGCAAGGGTAGGTCTCGCCGCCCCAGCCAGGGAACCTATATCGGACCCGGCCCTGGGACAGCTTGGGACAGCCCTGCAGGAGACTACCAGGATACTGGCTAGCAGGTCGGTCATGTAAACTATAGTCTGTATGATGGAACCTGTCTCTGGACTGGCCAATGGTTTAAGGGGGATAGCGGGCTGGTCTTATATTAGAGCGCGGGCCTTCGGTGCCCGAGGTCCCGGGTTCAAATCCCTCTATCAACAATAGATTTTATCTATGTGATAAAACTAGCGCTGGGCTAGAGCTAGCGTCCAAAGATGAGGTGGTGGGGCATAAAAAATGGTTTAAGTCCCAGGTAGAGAGATTATCAGGAGAAAGATTCCTCCATACAGACTATAACAGATACTGGCTAGCAGGTTGGTCAAGTAAACTATACTTTGTACGATGGAACCTGTCTCCTGGCCCTTCGTCTACCTGATTTCAATGATTTAATACCGAGACTAGTCCAGGTATACAGAGGGCCAGGAGATAGATTCCATCATACAGACCATAACACATACTGGCTAGCAGAGCGGTCAAGCAAACTAACAAATTACAAGTCTAGAATATAAGAGTATTTGTAGAGCATAATTAATTTTCTAGGTAGCCAAAAAAGTTATTGTGATTCATATCTGGACATTTTTGTCGATTCTTGAATCTTAAGTGGCATTAGTTCTGATCCTAGTAATTTAATTGGTATATTAGTTGTTTATGCGATCTAACAAAAGTTTGACGTTAGATTGCAACCAGACCAGGTTTTGGATCGTTCTCTTACATGAAAGAAACACCTAGAATTTGACTAATGGCATAGAAAAACACAAACCAAATGAAATAGAGGTAATAAAGTAAAATATGTTAAAGGAAAACTGTGAAAATGTGGATTTACTGGTTAAAAATAATATTTACGAATTTCACTTATTGCAAAACTATCTTGGAAAAATTCAGATATTTACCCAGTCCTATACCTAACTTTGACGGAGTTGTCGTTGTGTTAAACATAACAATAAACTCAGTTACATAACGATAAACATAACATTTATCGTTATCTATTTAAGAACACCGGTTTGTTGGCACTGTAAATAGTTTCCGATCAAAATTTATTTAATATAGGCATTTTCAGGTAAAAGGCTTTTTAAAAGTAGATTTTTGTTAAGTTTCGCCTTAAAATTGTCATCTTAGTCAAATTACAACTTACAAAGCAAAGTAAACTAATAGAAAACTAAAAATATTTCGTAGCCATTTCCGTTTAAAAACACGATGTCTGCATTCGCATTTTGAATGTTCATACAGGCGTAAAATGTAATACTGTCTGCAATAAGACTATTAACATTCATAGCGACCCGAAAATAATTTGATTTAAAAACCAGTGTTAAGCTGCTTCTCACGAACTGTGCGTCCGGTCGCGGATTTGCATTTCTTGGTTTTAATGAGATTTGAGTATCGACTGTAATCAGCATCTGCACCTTGGGGGAAGTTCTCTGTTGAAAATCTCGAAGTAGAATCTTGTCACAAAGTACTTTTGTCCTTGTTATGTTTTTACATTTGCCATAATTGGTTACAGAAAACATAATGAACAGTCGTTAAGGCTATTGAAGCGGATTCGGTTTTGATTCTGTCGCGGTTTGTTGCAAGTACATAGGTGATTTTCATTAAAACAATCAATGATTACGACTGAATCTTCCTCTGTAATCCATGGTAAGTTTGTAATATTTTGTACACAGTCCATCCAAGGACCCATATTATTCTCTTCTGCTTTCGCATCTTCTTTGTGAAGCACGGGCATCACAACTTGTAATAAATAATAATGCATTTGTTTTGATCAAATGATAACAAAAACTATTATACCATTATAGTGTGCTTTACAAAGTGATACTTTTATTACTTATTTTATATTTGGTTTGGTTATACATTTTGTGTATTCGGCAGAAATCGGTGAATGAGATTATTACACTTATATTTGGTTTAATTTAACCTTTTAACTAAGTTTTCTTTACAATTGTTTATATCTTTAAAATGGCCTTGGGATCTTTAGTTCTTGGTAGAGTATCAATGTTCAAAGATAGTAACAGAAAGACTACATCGTTATCCTATTATTGAATTTAATCTAAAACAATAAGTGTAATAAAATAGTCTCTCAAAACACACGTCATGTAGTTATCATATCATAGAAAATAAATTAACTAAAATTATATACAAGTTAATATTTTCATAGTCAATAGATTTCATTAATAAAAAATTTAACTTCTTACGTTAAAATATATATATCAGAGAGTTGTCTATCTTAATGAAACTTGGCATGTGTTGTTTCAAAAAATTTATGATCTCAGTCATAAATTAGCTTAGTATATTTCAATAACCTTTTTATTGAATTGTCACATTTTTCTCAGCAGTAGTAAAGTCATTTTCGTAGTGCATTTCAATATGACGAGCTAGATAAGAACTTATTAGAGAGGACACTTAATGTCATTTTCGTGAAAATTCATATTTGTAACCATTCACATTTTTATTAGGTTCATAAAATTTTTTTGCCTAAATTAACCGCGTTACTGGCGATAATTTAACCCCCAAACTTAACTAAAAGCATATCTGTACAGTATACAGTAGCAATTATTTCGAACCTCCTCATCCAAATCAAATTTCTATAAGAGAATTCGATGACAAACAAGATTACGAAAGTAACAATCTGTCGGCGTTTTATCTCGATTTGTGCCGTAAAGGCCGGCAAGTCGCCGGACCCTGTTATCGTAGCTGACGAGGCCCATTACCTCCCAAACCTCACATTTTTCATTCGTTTTTCAAGGGGACGAGGTGCTGACGCGAGGGAAACTGTTTTATTAAAAACATTTGCCAATTCAATATGTGACGGACAAATGGTAAATGGCGCGGTGATCTGGTGCATGTGTTGCCAGTGGACCTTTACACCTAACGGGTGTTTTATGTTAGAAGATATTGAGAGTTTAAAGGTGTCTATTGAGTAGGTATTGAATTTTTGTAGGAAAGAAGTACGGTTGTATATTGAAAATGTATTGAAAAAAGGACGTTTATGGTGAAAATTAGTTTTAGGATGCGTTTCAGATTGATTAAATTAGACTCAAGAGAGTTCAAAGACTTCATAGATGAATATAAGTTTGTTATTTAACAAGCGGTCTGTTAAATGTAAAAGAACATTAGTACATTAGTTAATTGAAAATTACTATGTTTGGTAAGTCCCGACGGGGACTAAAGAGGGTTAAGGGGATAGGATAACATAATTATTATCTACAAAACCATACTATAAGTATATTCTTACAAACGCTTGCCTAACCAACATTTATAGCTGTTGCCGATGGTTTGCAGCAATGTATGTTTTTTTTTCAGGGTTTATCCAATTGTTGTATAATTTAATTGGTCAAATCCTTTTATATTACACTTCTCATTATTAATATTACTTTGCTAAAAAAATTCACTAAGAAATTAAATATTTATTCAAAGTTTAACTTATATTACCAAGTATACTATATGCTGGTTTGATGGCCATAACGAGTTTAACACGAATTAAACAGTCCTTATCGCAATGTTATGACAAGGAATATTGTTTCACTCGAGAAGAGAGGTATAATAAAGTGACGCTGCAAGTCCCGCCTCTCGCACCGCCCCCGCCGCCTCCGTGCCACCCCCACTCATGTATAGTTTTTCAGGTTCAATCTTAACGGCATCGAGGTGGAAGCGGCACTGCCTAGGATAGGCACTAGTTACACCGACATCTGGGAATACTGCCCTCTGTATCTACGCCGCCCCCGGCAACCTCCGTGCCACCCCTACTCATGTACCATGTTGCAGGTTTAATCTTAACGACATCGAGGTGGAAGCGGCGCTGCCTAGGATAGGCACTAGCTACACCGACATCTGGGAATACTGCCCTCTGTATCTACGCCGCCCCCGGCAACCTCCGTGCCACCCCTACTCATGTACCATGTTGCAGGTTTAATCTTAACGGCATCGAGGTGGAAGCGGCGCTGCCTAGGATAGACACTAGCTACACCGACATCTGGGACTACTGCCCTCGGTATCTACGCCGCCCCCGGCAACCTCCGTGCCACCCCTACTCATGTACCATGTTGCAGGTTTAATCTTAACGACATCGAGGTGGAAGCGGCGCTGCCTAGGATAGGCACTAGCTACACCGACATCTGGGAGTACTGCCCTCTGTATCTACGCCGCCCCCGGCAACCTCCGTGCCACCCCTACTCATGTACCATGTTGCAGGTTTAATCTTAACGACATCGAGGTGGAAGCGGCGCTGCCTAGGATAGGCACTAGCTACACCGACATCTGGGAGTACTGCCCTCTGTATCTACGCCGCCCCCGGCAACCTCCGTGCCACCCCTACTCATGTACCATGTTGCAGGTTTAATCTTAACGACATCGAGGTGGAAGCGGCACTGCCTAGGATAGACAATAGCTTAAACCAGCGAGCAAGGAATACCAGCTAAACCGACATCTGGGAATACTGCCCACGGTATCTACGCCGCCCCCGGCAACCTCCGTGCCACCCCTACTCATGTACCATGTTGCAGGTTTAATCTTAACGGCATCGAGGTGGAAGCGGCGCTGCCTAGGATAGACACTAGCTACACCGACATCTGGGAACACTGCCCACGGTATCTACGCCGCCCCCGGCAACCTCCGTGCCACCCCTACTCATGTACCATGTTGCAGGTTTAATCTTAACGGCATCGAGGTGGAAGCGGCGCTGCCTAGGATAGACACTAGCTACACCGACATCTGGGACTACTGCCCCCGGTACCTACGCCGCCCCCAGGCCTGCCGCCCCCAGAGATACAGACGTCACGACGCTCTCTGCAACAACCTAGAGAACCCGACCTGGGGCGCCGCCCGCACACCGTTCCGGCGTCTGGTACCTCCGGAGTATGGGGATGGTGAGTGTCAGAGTTATAGAATAGAGTCACCATAGGTTATACAGTCATAGCTTTCTCAAATAAAAGGCACCAAAAAATGTGGCAAGGCCGCAATCCGCTCCACTATAATATATAATAACGACCGAAACAACAAACTAGTAAACATTCGCAGTACTCATACGCTCCATGTGTGACCGGGTCTGTGGCGTACATTTCCCCAGTCGTGTTGTTGTATTACCTAGTTCTCCACTAGTCCGACACTATCCTACACGACACCTTCCAACAAGACTCCGACACATTCCGATGCCTTCCGTACTTTTTAAGGCAATAACCCATTGGTGCGATGGGCTCCGTCAGTAACCGACGAGAAATTAGATATTTTAAGCTTTTTCGTAAATTTTTTGGCTGCTAGAGCAGTAAAAGAGGTCTTTATTTGTCCATCCGATGTTTCTTTATTCGTATAATCTTTTTTTATAATAGTTGGTCCGCCATTTAAGAACCAATCACCACTCAAATCCATAGAACTTGCATCATTGAAAGCATCAGAATATGTTCAGGCAGCTTTTATAACGTAGGCCTACTGTATAACGAAAGGGATGTTCCCAAAACCGTTTCGATCAAACGTTCGTCAATTCTCATGTCACCACAAAGCTAGACAGTGACTAATCTAGGTCTGTTATACCACAGAATATAGAACCTATATTTTCTTTGGTTATACGCAGAGTGGAGAAATGTCAGATCCGACATCCGACAATAATGCCCCAGAGAGCAATTTTGTCGGAACGTGTCGGATCGGAAGGTGTCATGTCGGACTAGTGGGTTACAGTCTATTTAAAGTCATGCAAAATAATTTTGTCGGAAGGTGTCGGAGACTTGTCGGAAGGTGTCGGACCAGTGGGTTTCCTGCTTTAGAAGACACTATAGTATAGATCGTCTCAATTAGGATGGCGTGTGGGGAGGGATGATGTAGAGGCTCCTAAAATCCTTGAAAGTTCCTATTTTACAAACCACTTGTGATATTAAATCTATCTAATTAAAAGTAGGCCTAACTGTTAAGAAAACTGTATGAAATAAAAACCACTTCAATTGACACAATCTGTATAAAATGATGGATTGAATCTCAACGTCGCACTTCAATAGGGAAATGCATTTTAAAACTACTTTAAAAAATATAATATGTTAGGATTCATGAAGTGGTGAATTATTTTAGATATGCAGAAAAATCGCACAAAGAAACACTACCCTAATAACATTTTTCTACACCATACCAATGATGTTTGGATAGCCTATACTACTAATCCATAATCCATTTTTTTTTATTTCACCTATTTATCATATTATTTTTGTTATTCTTAATTTTGTGGTAACTACAAGTTTTTGTTTGACGCTTACCTTACCTACAGTACAAGTCTTAGAAATGCTTTAATATATATTTTACATTCTGATCCAAACAATGTGTTAAATGACAACAATGCAACAATGTAAACAGCTGATCTTTTATTTAGCCGTTTATCTCGGGTTATTAGAATACAACTACCTTTTCATACAGAGTGTTTAGAGTATGATTTTGATGTTTGATTATTATTCAATATTTAAAAACACATTTTAATTGGAAAATATAAATCATTAAATGTTGTCACAATAGCTTGTTTATGCGGCAGTACAAAAAATAGTACTACAATATCATGTGAACCGAATGGGAGGAGGCATGCAATCTCCCACTTATTCACGTTATAGTAATTTACTAATTTAGATAATTCACAATCACTATTTTTCGGCTATCGCACCCTGTAGTTGATATTAACACAATTTTTAGTTCAAAAGCCCCAAATCACCCTCCTTGACTTTAAGATAATGCTTTCAAAAATACAAAAGTGTGTAAATCTGTAATAACTAATTTGCGCAGCGGTTGTTTCTAAACACAATGCAGCGCTCATAACACATTCAGGCTCACCGACTGACGCCGTTCAACTTTTAAAAGAAGAATTTGCGGGAGAAAACGCGTTTTAATAACACGGAACAATAGCTGATTGTAAAAACCGAGGGTTGAAAGTTACAAAATATTTATGAAGACCGTCAAGACCGGGTCTCGACTTTAGGATTTAAAAGTTACAAAATCTTTGTCACTCCGTGTTATAGGCCTAGTAAAATAATTCTAATTTGTGTTTTGTAAATGAACATTAAGATATTTGACAATGATTTAATTCGTCTTTGCATAATAGAGGGGATTTTTGAAGATTTCCTAACTTTTCGAAAATTCCGGTATCATCATTACTTTCTTTACAGGAAAAATTAATGTGTATTTTGGTTAAGTCATAACACTTACATTTTTTTTATTTGGTACGTTTAACGAGCTATAATAAATACTTTCGAGGGGTTATCTTGAATTAACATTTTGATTAAATTAAACCAAAATTTAATCCTGCCTAAAACTAGGCTTGCTTCTGCGTGCGACTGTAAATAAGCATTAAAGTAGACTTTCGATCGCCTCACATAAGTTAGTAGAAATAAAATTAGAAATAAAAAAATAAATAAAAAATATCGTAGCTAAATGGTGCCTCCGACAAGTGCATATCTGCCAAAATTGCATTCCAATGTAATTCTGTAATGTAATGTTTAATGTAATATCTTCTGGAATGTTCTTACATTCAATGGGTCACTTTGCTTGTAAAACGTATATTAAACATTTTTTCTATAGGCAGAGTCAATTTACATAAATTCCAGAGTCACAAAATCATGAACAGGACTGTGTCATAAATTATAAACCAATTTAAGACGGTTTTACAGACGACAGTTTATATTTTTGATTTCAATTCTAGTAAAAATGTTGAAAACTGTGTAAGATTCATAAGAATTATCCTCACGTGCTATACCAATGTTAACATACATTACCTATATTGGCTGGAAACTGAATGTTGTAGGCACCCCCAGGAGGGTACGCTACACCCTTAAAAACTGGAACTGTTACTGTTATGGGAAAATAGGGGAGGGACAGATGTCTTGATACAAATTGATATTTTGACACTTGACAGACTACTTACAAACTATTTAATATGTTCTTTGGTGAATTTTAGTAGAAAATGAAGTATTCGTTTGCCTCTCAGTATATTGTTTCCGATTTATCATCTCAGAGAATTATAGAAAGAGATATTGATTATCCATATCAATATTGTAATTTTATTAGATTTTTATTGTATACCCAAAAGATTTATTACGGTTAATCTTTGATTAATTTATTTATCTCTCCTCCATGGTTTTATCTATTGATAATCTCTTAAATTAGTACAAAGTGTACGGCTCATATAAGATTTAGCAGGACTATTCTGATAATGTTCATCAGTACTAGTGAACAAACTGCAGGCAATTGAGTTGCGATGAGAAAAAAATGTTATTTTTTCTCATTGTGGGAACATGTACAGTATACGACTATTTTGAACACAATTACATGAATTGCAGCGGTCTATGGCTATCTAGATTTTGATATATTTATTCACAGAAATGGTTCATAAGAAAGCAGTATTCTTATATGGAAAGTAAGCTTAAATCCCCTAATAGTATGAAACATTATATTATAAATATAAAATCAAAATTTAAAATCATAGAGGACCTATGTTTATTATCTTGGCCCAATTACCCTTAATCATAAAATTAACTGACTTGCTTACTTAATTAAAATGCTTACTGACTAGTTGTGTTCCGAAATTTTTCGCAACAAAGGAGCATCTTATATCTTATTATTCGCAACAGAGGTAATTCTCTCATTAACAAAATCTCAAGGAGTTTTAGCAGTTATAAACCCGCCACTTAAAGGCAATACCATTACGCGGGGTTGCGGTTATAATACAACGAACAGCCGTGTAATGGGCATTAAACATCAACTAAGGGCAGTTACCGCCCTTGAGCATCTGGGCATACTTTGTACAGGGTAGAATTTCTTTAAAAATGAGATTACTTTAGTAATTTGTCTAAACATTGATAGTCTCAGACTTTTCTGTGTCGTACCTCTTTTAGTAATTGAATCATCGTTATACTTTTACCAGGCATGTAGAACCACACAGGTACAATATTAGTCATTGATAAACCCACTGAAAAAGTGACAAAGCTGAGAAAAAATTATGAAAGTAGGAAGAGAATCAAAACGTCAGACAAATGAGAGGGGCGCGCATCATCGCCCTAATGTCCTGTCAAATGGGTCGTGGCAATATTTTTCGAACTTGATTTATTTTGAAATCTTCTTTGTAATCTCAAGAAGATTGCTGCAATCAAAGTGTAAAGTATCAAATCATGGAAGGTTTGGTATAACTTTTTTCGTGTAAGTTAAATTTAGGTACCCAACAACAGGACTGAACAAACTTTGTCTAGATAGTCTTCTTATTTATCTATTTTGGGAAAATTAATCTATGGTGATATCTAAGTTAGTTTTTTATATGAAAAACAGTAGTTACTATATAACAGCAACGCTGTAAAAGGAAAATCAACATAATAAAAAACATTCATACTCTTGGTTGATCAAACTATTCACTAAGGTGATCTGGCTTTCAGGTGGGTTTCAGCGGCGTGATTTAGTTTACAACAGAACAAACCTTTGAGCGGATGGAAACAAATTGATGTATTTACGCATTTCCCCTTAAAATTAACAATTGTAAATTAATTAAAAACATAAATGTGAAGAAATTGTTTTTTAAAACAACTATTTTTGACAATAATCAATTGGTTAACTTGAACACGTTTTATTCATTAACTACTTTACATCAACTAATAGTGTTAAGTCGGCTTAACTGAATCAATCTTTAAGTTAATTTAGCAAAGATATTCTCCCTCATCGACAGACACCGACGTCGTATAACTTGTAGTGTGCCAAGACAAGCCTCAAATTAGGGCTGTTACGTTTGGTTTAATCAAGAGGGTTAAGTCACAATTTACAGTATGGGGACTGATAATTTCGTTTGAGTCCTTATGTTGACATAAATTGACTTCGTTCTCGTGTTTTGTTTACATCTTTACTGTACTCATCAACCAAG